AAATATATTTCAAGAATTTATTCCTTGTATGTATATATGTATTGCAGATTTTATATATATATATATAACATAATGTAATAATATTTAATATTTTTACATCTATGTGGGAAAAAATTTAATTTGTACTGCTGTCTGTTCAAAATAAATGAAAAGAAACTGAGCATAGTAGATTTTTTTTTTTTCCCCTGTTGTACCGAAATCGTATATCGAACCGTGACCCCCGAACCGTGACATCTGTGTACCGTTCCACACCTAGTAGCGATGTGGTGAAACATGCTAACAATGATCTAAAACATGTTCGCAACTTCTGGAAGCATGTATGAACATACTAACAACAACAACTAGCAACCAGCTAAAACATGTAAACAACCCTCAACTACATGGTAGAAGATGTTGAAAGCATGCTGCAGTTATCTACATGCTAGAACATGCAAATTTATTTTATAAACATCTGTCTAATTTTATTTGTTTTAAAGGAATAGTTCACCCAGCAATGAAAATTGTCATTATTTTACTTACCCTCAAGTTTTTCCAAACCTATATTGGTTTCTTTCTTCTGTTGAACACAGAAGATATTTTGAAGAATGAGTGCAACCAATGAGTTTCTGGTTCCCATTGATTTCCATGGTATTTTTTCCATACTGTGGAAGTCAATGGGGACACTCAACTGTTTAGTTACCAACGTTCTTCAAAATATCTTCTGTTGTGTTCAACAGAAGAAATAAAATCATACATACCTCCAAAAGTAAAGCTTTTAAAAGAACTGAAATCTTTCTGGACAGACTTTCTCACGCCAACATTTTTATTTTTCTTGATGAACTTGATCTGCAGTAAAAGAAACAAATGATTGAGTGAACTAACAATGTGCTAGAACCTGAGCAGCTGAAGCACAGGTCACGTTATCTTCACTGTCATTTCCGAACACTTGTGTCCATCAGTGTCCCTCACCAGTGTGTTTCTCTGTGGTCTCAGATGGAGTCTGCTCGTAAGGCGTGGGAGAACTCTCAGGCTCTCCCGGAGCAGTGCTCCCCGGGCGGTGTGGGCTCCGGCGCTCAGCCCGCCTGCAGCGTGGGCTCCTCCAGCGGCGTCAGCTACAGCTCCTTCGGCGGAGTGTCCCTGCCACCCATGCCTGTGGCGTCTGTTGCTCCTTCTGTCTCCATGCAAGGTCAGCTGTCTAATCATTCTCTCAGACTGTGTGTTGCATGTGGTGGCAATGCATGGCTCTAAAAACTGTTGTGATCTGTGTGTGTATCACAGGCAGTCACATTCCTCCTCTGTATCTGGACGGTCATGTGTTCCAGAGTCAGCCACGGCTCATGCCGCCCTTGTCTCAGCAGCCCAGTTACCAGCAGGTACGCGTTGTCTTCACTCTTCACGGTTTTTATAATGACCGTCTCATATTTGGGTTATTCTGCTGTTTTGAAAGAGCATCTTGCGGGTAGGGGCTCCACATGCTAGAAATATCAGGGATCTTTGAAGTTGTGACTGCAGGCATCTAAACATGTGTTTTGGTTTGATTGAAGATGTTTGTACACTAGTAAATTGTGCTTTATTAATTTATGACTCCCAGGCATACAGAAATCTGCCCCAGCAGCAATTCTTATCCAGTGATCACAAACTACTGGGAGTATAACCCTGTAAACAGGGATTAAAGTTCTCCGTTGCTACGACGGATTTCTGTTAATTGCAGCGAGTCTACGACGGATTTCCGTCAATTGGAAAAAATGAGGGGAAAAGAAACATTTAGCGCATTGTTGTTGTTGTACCAAAAATCTTCCCCGCCATGTCTGCAGCTTCTCACTGACAACATAACGACGCTCACATCATTCACAGTCGGGTTATTAGCAGAGAACACAGAGCAGGACTTGAATTTCGGCGCGGGATTGCGGCTATTAATAATAATTCTACTCATTCCCGCAGGTTCCGCACTTATAACACGATGACAGATGACGGAACGTATCATTTGCACGTGCTTTTGAGTCTTGAGAACTCACTCGCGCGCTCATTTTCTGTGCGCCCACAGATTTAGGAGATAAGGAGAGTGACAGCTTTTAATAATTATTAAAGGAGTTTGCAAATGTGATATTGTCAAAAGATTTTTTTTTGCTTTAATCCCCGTGTAAAGCCTGACATGAAATAGAAGTCAGAAAAATATTATCTGAAACAAAAGTGTTAATTAAATCTTTAGACAAAGTATTTAAAAGCTAAAAAAAATTTTTTTTTGTTTCTGAGTGTCATATTTGATACATCAGGCTTTTATGGCTCATATAGTCTGATACAGTGAGAATATGGAGGAAAAACAGCTCAATTTTATACAGAGACTCAAACTGAGCAAAAAAAACAACAATTTGGTGCAGATACTGATATTTATATGATGAAATTCTGTTGCTTGTAATGTAAATTAATAATAAGTTCTTTATAAAAGTTTTGCAGATATTTGCATAAAATTACATAAAAAGGGCTGGGTAAAAAATATTGATTTCTCGATTTTAATCGATTCTCTTTGTGCTTTGTTACTTTTGATATGAAACTGTCTCAAATTTCAAATTCTGTCTTTTATTACAATATTCAAACAATAAATACTATTTTGGATCCGTTTAATGTTTAGTGACTGTTCACTGTAGTGCATGTAAACTGATCATCTTCTCCACTGTAATACCAGTTTAAGCATGAAAAAAAACAAGAATGAACACCAGAAGGGACGTTAAAATAGAGTACAACTTACCGAAATCCGTATCCTGCCTCATGTTATCGCTCAATCAGTGTTTCAACCGTGGAAAGACATCAATGTAACTGCTTGTAAATAATGTCATGTGACGTCACATTTACCTCAGAAAAAAACAATATTCGGTGACCATGAACTCGTTAGTCAGCTAGAAAAATGCACTCTAGCGATGAACATTTTGCTAAATATATGCACTATATAACATATTCATTATAATTTTTACTGTTCAGTATTTAATGTTTAAATAAATCCATCAAGTTTGACAGCCACCATTTAAATGTTTATATTTCACCATTTAGATGTTTATATTTCAAATAACTAATTGGAGTAGAAATAGTTATGTAATTGTAAAGGGTAATTTAAGTGTTTGTATACAAATCAGAATTTTAACCTTCAATATTATAGTAATGTAGTACCAACTGACTCTGATATATATTTTACAGCATTAGTTGAGTTTTTTTTCCTTGAAAATTTGCCATGTACTGCAAACCTCTACATTGCGAGTAAATCACTCGCATATGCGACTAAATCTTCACTCTGGCGACTAAATTATGTCTAATATTAGCCAATTGCTAATAAATTCTCAGATTTTACTCGCCAGTGTGAGTTGGAGGCTAAGTATAAGTTTAGCTCGGATATATTTTCACTCACCGAACACTCTCTGACTGAGCGCTTCAGAGTTTCACTCTCCGCCAAGCGATCCACACACACGCAGCGAGAGAGGGAGAGAGAGAATTGACGCGCTACCTATGCGCGCTAGATGTAAACAATATTCTTTGTTGTATTTTGGTGTCAAAGTAACGGAGTTCCTTTGGCATTCTTCCGCTTTTAAGAACTACCGCTTTATATCAGTCTGGCGAGTAAACAAAAAAATTTACTAGCCAATGGCGATTTAATTGCCAAGGTGTTCGTAGAGGGCTGTACTGTTACTTATATACATCCAAAATAATCGGAATCAAATCGAATTAGAATCAAATCAAATTGAAAGCTTATGAATCTGAATCGAATTGTGAAATTGGTGTCAAAACCCAGCCCTAGATATAAATATCACTCATCACTCTATATCTCCAATAATATATGAAATATGATGTTATTTAAATTAAGCCTGGGCGAAAAAATGGTATCGATATTTATCGACGGTACACCTTCTTCGATAACGATAGAAAAATATGAAACATTATATCGTTGATACATTTTTTAACTATATTGCCCAGCCCTAATTTAAATTATCAAAACACATTCAGTGCAATACAATGATGATTGAGAGATGAACAAATAAACGTTCCTCAAAAGATTTGAGATGTTTTCGAGGCTTGGGAAGATCACTGAGGAACTCCACTGAGGAACAGGAACGGGTTTAACAGTAATGTTTTGATTAGTGGTCGAACGATATTGGTTTTTTGACAGCCGATGCCGATAAATTGAAAAGCAATGTGGCCGATATAAAGCCGATATAATTGTATTTATTTTAATTAATATTTAAGAAATTTGAAATCATTTGAAAATGGATTAAAAAATACATTTGTAGAATAAACATACTTATATTTTTATTCAGTATTTATTTATTTGTGAAAAATACTATGTCATCTAAAGTATAATTAAAAAGGAAGTAAACTGTAACCAACAGAGCACTCAGTATTCTGGGAAGTTTGTGTGCATTGGGAATCATATCTTTTCAAATAAAGCCAAGGTAGCACTCATTTTACATACAGCACACAGTGAAAATGACAT